TAATAGGTGTTTGTGTGTGTTTTTTTTCGCATTGTGATTTTGTGATGTTTTACCATGGGGTGTGACATGAATGTTAAAAGAATATTAGCGTTGGCTATTTGACCTTAGGCTATCGTGATATTAATATCAGTAGAGATAGGCAGGTTAATTGCGAATGTTTTTTTTTTAACCCTCGCACGACCAGGCCATTTCTCATAACACGAACGACCAGGGGGGGGGGGGGTTGTTACGACCCCCCCCCCTGGCGTTTCGAAACGGAAGGTCGTAGAGCTTAGCGGAAAAAGACAACGGATTGCTCTCAACGAGATCTCGCGATTGGTGGTATATTTTTTGGTCCTAGCTCAACATTTGACCTACTTATGACCGGTCAAAGGTCAAATTTTCCGAAAAAATCAAACTTTTTCAAACTTCCGCGGCGATTGCAGCAAAACGGTGGGAGATATCGACTTGAAACCTTCACTATCGTGTTCCTTGATCAATTCTCTATCGTTTGGTATGTATTTCGTTTCCCTAGCTCTAAAAATGGCGCGTTGGGAGCGCCGGAAGTCGGCAAGGTCACAGTCGGCGGCAGAAATTCGAAAAATCAAAATTTAAATTTTTGAAATCTGATTGTATTTTTGGATTTGGGAGGTCCATTTGCTCCCTATAGAAGCTAATATTGCTGCATATTCCCATTGAGGTGACAAGAATTAGCAAAATAGTGGTTCGGGCGCTTTTCAAAAATAGTACCGGACGCTGTTCCTCTTGTGACGTCATAGCTCCGTGACCTGACCTGACCCGGTCATTTTTCTTGCACCACACGATAGCCAATGCTTGCCCCAACATGCATGGGAAGTTTCATCATGATCCATCAAACAATGTGGGTATCACCGGCAGAAAACCTAGGGATTCGGCGCACACGTTTGGTAACTGTCGGCCGGAGGCTGTACCTCTTATGACGTCATAACTCCGTGACCTGACATGACCCGATCAATTTTTTTTTCGGCAAAAGATGCGCAAAGGTTGCCCCAGAGGGTATTGAAAATGTCAGCCCGCTACGACAAGCCGTTTAGCGTGCACTTCGAGAAAACCTCAGGGGGGGGGGGTTGATACACCCCCCCCCCCCTAGGCGTTCTAGGGTTAAATAAACTTTTAACAATGCATGTAAGCAATAGCCTCAAATTATTGGTCGAGGTATTATAAAGTGATATATTTTTGTTGGGTAGATGTGTAACACTTTATTTAATTTTTAGGTCAAACATGCTGTTAGATCTTGAAAACGGTTGAACCTGATTGTACTATTTTCTCGAGAATTTGCGCGCAAAAAATGTTTGGCTGGAAATATTTTGCAATGAGTTATGCAGTCAAAGATTGGATTTTTTATCGTGACATTTTTAGCTAGTTGTATTCTGATGAAGAGCTGTGCTCGAAATTATTAATAAACAAGTGTTTTGATCTAACTTTTTCAAACTACGAGGGTAAGGTCATTAATCGTTAATCAAAATGCTTTAATATGATCCTCGCACAAGCACTGAGAAACTTAAATTGGTAAGTTATTGAAAACCATCGATGGTATCTTGTTCTTCAAACACATACTTTGCCATCCGAGGTCACCAATTCCAGGTCAGGTCACAGAGGTCAGGTCACTGGGGGTCACAATATGAAAGTGTCGTGTGGTGCATGTTTTATGGTTCATTTTACATGACAAATGCGATTATGTGGGTCAGGCAGCCTTTGGGGCCAGCTTAGGTCACGTTTTGGGGAAGGTCAGGTCAAGGTCAGGTCAAACTAGGTCAAATTTTAAAGTTGATATGTTGGCATAAAATGGGTATCGATACGATGCAGTTCGTCTAATGGAGTCTAATGGTGGTCTTTTTTTGCCCTACTTGGTCTATAATTGCAAAAAATGCAGTTTGAAAATTTGACGTCATCATTTTTTAACAGTTTTTCGCTATAAATTGGCCAAAAAACGAGATATCGATCTGAAATTTGTTATGTAGATAGTAGACGGTAGGTACTCTGACATATTTTTTTTGAAACTCAGAAAACTTTTTGGATGTTTTGGCTAATTTATAAAAAAAGTTTTTTTATTTTTTGCGGTCAAAACTCAGAAAATTAAAAAATCCGAGATAGCAGTTTTGCAGCCCTGTCACTTCTAGACCTTTTATGTCGCGATCATTTTTCTGTATCTTCAAAGCTGTAGGCGACAGCTCCTCTCGCGAAGGTCTTTTTTCGGTCGAAAATGGCAGAACATGACGTCATTCTGACGTCATTTGTGGACAGCCTATCATAGCTTCTGGAAAATTTTTTGGTCACAATGTGTAAAATTGATGCCAAGAAGGGTCCTAAAAGTTTGGTGGCGATATCTCTAGCCCTTTAGGAGATATCGACGGAAAAGGACAGGGGGGCCGTTTCACCCCCCCCCCCCCCAACGGGGCGCGGGTTAACCCGCGCCCTGCTGGGGGGAGGGGGGTGTTTGAACACCCCCCCCCCCTTGTGGTTTTTCGCGAATATCTCAAAAACGGTGGCGCGGAGCGCCGCCGTTTTTGGTACACCTTATCATACATCAATTCTACACATGTTGTGAAAATTTCAGATCAAGGTCATTCAAGGTCAGGTCACCAGGTCACTTGAAGTGACATCACCTCATAAAAAGTTTCAATGTCTGTCATAGCTACACCGAGTGACCGATCGCTTTGAAACTTTCAGCGATTGCTAAGAGCAATAGCATGTACAAAATGTTTATCTCAGAATCTTGATATCGATGACCTAAGGTCAGGTCAATTTTGCGACCTCCCCATTATAAGTCAATGGGAGAAAATTGAAATGCGCCTCTTTTGGATGAAAGACATTATAAACACTCCCAAACACTGAATAACAAGTGGTTTAGACACACTGAACATGAAAATGGTGTCCGTGACCCCTGTTTATGCCCTGAGGTCATCTTAGGTCACGAATGGTATATAACAGTTTTTCGCAAACAACTTTTGATAGAGGCATGCTAGAGCGATGAAAACGCCTTCGATGTGTTCAGCTCGACGATACGAATCGACCGATATGCAACATGAACCTTTCCGGTCAGGTCATGACCTTGACCTGAGGTCAAATTTTCAAGTTGACCTTTCAAGGTCAAGTTATAGTTCATTCGATGCGTCTTGACGAGAGGAACACGATGCCGGTAAAAGTAAGCTCGTACAAGGCCTGGGTCAAAAGTTATTGCAGAAAAACTGTTTCCAAAAAAATCGGCTATTTTTGCAGTTTTTGCCCCCTGCAGGCAAAACCTTTGACGTTAGGTCAAATCTGAGATGATTACTCAGAAAGGGCGTTAATAGGGCTATCGAATGCGCTTTTCCGCGGCGCTGTAGCTCTATTGGTTCCCGAGTTATGCGTTGGCTTCTTGGAATTTGTCGACATTCGACCTGGAAATCGGCTAAATTTTGCCTTCAATGACCTCTGGTGGCCTGACCTTTAACCTGACCAAAAAAATGACCGAAGTGATTTCGTCATTATTTTTGACGCTCTTTCGAACGCCGCCTTCCGCGTATCGCTACGTGACCCAGGAGCCGAGTTAGAAGGGGGGGGTGTTCAAACCCCCCCCCCAGCAGGGCGTGGAAATCCAGGACCCCCAGCCGGGCGCGGGTTAACCCGCGCCCCACTGGGGTCTGCGTATAACACGCCCTACTGGGGGGGGGGCTCTCCATAGCCCCCCCCTCCTAACTCCGAAACTACTGGGCCGATCGTCAAAATTCAAACGGCGTCTGATAGCCCCGGAAAAATTGTCGAGCGAAACCTAATTTTATTGACCTCGAGGTCACCGATGACGTCACAGGTGTCAGGTCAAAGTAAAAATTATTAGCATTTTGGCTTGTTCACGTTTGGCCGCCGTCCTACAAGTCAGATCAGGCTCATTTTTGGTTCACACACTCGTGAACAGATGCTCTAGATACCCTGAGGGTACCAAACTTGTACTTTGATTTTCAGGTCAAGGTCAGGTCATCACAGGTCACGAAAATATCATATCATGCGTTGGTCACGTGACACATGCTTTATGGTCCGTTTAGGCCAAAGATTTCGAATTTGATGTCGTCTGTGTCATTCGAGGTCATTTTGAGTCGAATTTAGCTTAGGTCAGGTCACTTTCAGGTCAAAAAAGGTCAAATATTGAAGTTATAATTTTTCAACAATAAAGGTGTCTATTGGATGCAGTTTGAGCTCAGGAACACGATGGTGCTATTTATATTGGCGTACGATGATACGTGCTGAAAAATTGATTTAAAAAATTAATAATTGTGATTTTTTGCAATAATGCGTATAACTTGGCCATTGCTGAAGATATTAAGCTAAAACTTGCTAGAGTTAGTCATGATAATGCGTTCTATCGCATTTATTTCGTTTTTTTCGAAAAGTCAAAAGCTTTATGAAAAAAAATGTAAAAATATAAATTTTGAATTTTATTATATAACATTTTCGAAATTTTCAAAATTTCGAAAATCCGAGATGGCAGTTTGATAGCGCAGTCTATTTTGAGTCCTCTCATGCAAAGAAATTGGATCTAGCTTAAAAACTGAGCTCTTCGGAGCGATTGCCGTTGTTCAATGTTTTGCGTCGAAATCGGCCGAACATGTCGTCACTCTGACGTCATTTTCGGCCGACCTATGGTAGCTACGAAGTTCAAATTTTGACGCAATGTGTCAAATTGATGCAACCGAAGGTACTGAAAGTTTGGCGTCGATATGTCAAGCGGTTTGGAAGTTATTGCAGAAAAACGGGAGGGGGCAAACGGCATCCATCATTCCATGCCTCAGAATAAGGGTTTGTTGAAAACCGTTGACAAATATTTGAGCATATCGTCTTTCTGACTTTCGGTCGCCGGCAGGGCCGCCGGGGTAACTTTTTCAAATCTCCACCCATGCCCTTGTCATTGCTCCTTTATTTTATGTTGTATTTTCATGTGTTCAACTACTGATGTGTTCAACTGGATATCTGAACTAAAGCCGCCCCTGCTCCGTTTTCCATCGCAGGCAAGGGGCGAGAACACCACGGAGGAGGGGCCTGTCAGCTCGACCTCTGGCTCTGGCGCCGCGGTCTCCAATACCACCACCTCCAGCGCCGCGACCTCCGCCCCCGCCGCTGCACCGGCCGCCGCCACTGAATCGACTGGTGCCGGCGCTGCGGCCACCCCGGCCCCGGCCAATGGGTGAGGCTCCGAACGGAGCGGGATCGTGGCTCCGAACGGAGCGGGATCGTGGCTCGGAACAGAGCGGGATCGTAACAGTCTGATGGCCGGGATTTGTAGTGCACTTTGTCTCATAAATCTTAGTAGGAGTATAGTGGCGAAAACCACCGTCGGGTAATAAATGTAATGTGCTGGGCGTTTTCAGCGCTAGCATTAGTCAGTAACTGCCAATTACGAGCGAGCGCGAAGTGCGAAGCGAGTCTTTTCTATATAACGCGGAAAAATCTCAGTATGAGCGGCCTGGCCCGGCCCGTCCTGTGACGCTTTTGAGAGGCTTATAACTCAGCAACCGCTGGGCCGATTGGCCTGCGGTCTTTTTTGTTGGGTAGCCCCATCCCTTCTACCTGGCAATTGACTATTGTGGATGCATCTAGGTGACCGTCGTGGCACGTGCCACGTGAAAAGCAAAGGGTGCTCAAGCTATTATGCTGAAGTGACGATTTTAAGAGGCCCATATCTCAGCAACCGCTGAGGCGATTGAGTTGTGGTAGTTTCTGTAGGGTAGCTGCATTCCTTCTACCTAACATCGGTTATTCTCGATGCACGTGGGTCACCCCCACTGCACGTGCCAAATGCAACAAGGAGAGGTGTCACATTTGTTCCCATTACAATAACTCGGCAATCACTACTGTTGGGGAGCGGCGGCCGTTCGTATCGGCCGCCGGCAGCGTGCGCCGGCGCTGCAGCCTGCAGTCCCGGCCGGCAGGTGACGTAGGTGACGTGGCGGCCGCTGATTGGTCGGGGGGCGCCCAGCCCCCTATATAAGGCGGTGCACCGCCGGCGCGCCAGACCCCTTGAGACCCTAATTTTTCGTGATTATTTTTAAATGCATGGAATAATTTCAACCATATTTAGGAAATAGCCGTTTCAAGACCTGCCGAAACTTTTCCTTCAAATACATTTTGTTGTTTTGTTTGTTTTGTTTTTTGTTTTGTTGGGTTAGGCCCTTTCGGTCTGGCAAGACCATTTCAGAGCCGGGAGGATGATAGGATAAAGGGGGAGACATTGGTCTGGGCAGGCACCCTAGTGAGTCGCCGGGGCTGAGCCCGTCCAGAGGACAGGCCACCCAGCCCCAAGGCACTCACTGCACCCGGCTAAGGGGTGCGCTCCCTCGGGAGCAGCGGTGCCGCTCCAAGGAAGCAGCCCGCATGAGATAAAGTTGCCTGTCCAGCCCGGAGGGGGGTTGCGGCGTGGAGGAGAAGGATTTCTGTATCCTGAGGATAGAAGCACGGAACGGTGACACATTTTGTTGTCACTAAACCCGCGCCCCGTAGGGCTATCGGCGGACCCTACCACCCGTAGGGGAGGGGCCGTTTCGCCCCCCCCCCCCCCCCCCCCCCTAAGATCTCGGAAATTTACCGGCCGATTTTCAAAATTCAAACGGTGTTCGATAGTCCCACCCGGGAACTACCTTGTGACCAAATTTCCTTGACCTAGGTCAAACTGATGACGTCACAGGTCAGGTCAAATGTCGGATTTTCACCGTTCACAGGTATTTCAAGAAATGTGTTGTGAAATCGAGTAAATTGGTAATTTTGTTGGCTGTCAGACCTAGGCCTCCGATCGGTGCTGACAACTGGCGACGGATTTGCGAATCTAGATGTACCGCAGCTGAGACAGATGGCGCTGTGTGTTCGTCGAGGCGAGTCTATGCGGCCCTGTGGCCTGTGATTGGTCGCCGGTTAGGAGTGGGAGAATCGGAAACAGCTGTGACGGAATGGTGGATGGCAATATGGCGACGATCGGAACGGCCATGCTTATATCTGTATGTTCGGATACAATAAACAAGTTTTGAGTGAGAATCACGTCTTGAGTGAACCCACGAGAACGGGCAACAGTGGTGGCAGCGGTGCTCAAGATGGGAGAGTGATTCTCGTGGTACGGACGGACTTTTACTGGAAACCGTGATTGCCGCAAGTCAACACGTGGCACAGATTGATATACGCAAGATGGCAGAGAAGGACATTTCACTCGATAAGTTTACTGGCGTGACAGCCAAGGATTGGATAGAGTGGCTCGAGGATTACGTATGTTACGCGGAAGGGAGAAAATGGAACCGGGAGAAGCAGGCGTCAAATCTCCGATTTTTTGTGACAGGCGACGTACGGGACTGCGTAAGAGACACTGGAGCCACAGACCTTAATGAGGTCGACACAGCAGTCCAGGCCCTGTTGGGTGGAAAACCGACCTCTCTAACGGCCAGTCAAGAAATCGATGCAATTACCTATAAGGGTAGCGTACTCGTCATGGTCCAACAGATGCGGAGATGGGCGAAATATATTACCAAACAGGAAGAAGTAGATCAGATGGTAATGCTACATCTTCAAAGGCAACTACCTGTGGCGTTCGCAGAAGAAGTGATCAAGCGTGACTGTCAAAACCTGAAAGAGGCAGTCAAGGTCGTACAAGGACTCGAGCGGGCACATCAAATCCGAGTGATGCGTCCTCAACAGCCTGAGCAGGTTGTGAGTCGTGTGGTGGAAGGTCAGCGAGCAGATGGGCATCCTGAGAGATCAGCGGGCCATCAGCAGCAGCATGGCTCTCGTGGCGGCTTTGGTCGCCCACCACCGCATGGTCAGCGAGGAGGACAGCGAGGACAGTTCGCAGGGAGGTGGCAGCAGCGTCAACCCCCACGGGTGACATCTGCTGGTCAGTTCCAGAGGCAGCCACGAGGTAGGAGAGGGGCCCAGTGTTTCACATGCGGAGGTGAGGGACACTTTCGAAGATCCTGTGTGTTTAAGAATGACAGGTGTGGAACGTGTGGCAGAGTGGGTCACCTGAGTCCCATGTGCAATGAAAAAAACGAGACACGACCCGCTACACAGAGCCTCTAGTAGTGGGTCATGGGTGTGAAGAGGACTCTAAGAAGCCTGAACCAGGGGGGAGGTACCTGAAAGTAAAAGTAGGTGATAAGGTAGTCGGTGCTCTTATCGATACAGGGGCTGATGAAACATTAGTTAAGTTGGATTGCCTGCCCCAGGGTACACCTACGTATCCCTTGGACAGTAAAGTTAAGTTAGCGGATGGAAGTGATGCAGATATTGTAGGTTGTGCTGTGCTAGATATAGAGATTGCCAAGTGTGTCCAAAAAGTAACTGTACTTGTGTCACGTAAGTTGTATGAAGATTGTTTGATTGGAGCTAGGCTTCTCACTCAGCTGGGGGCAAAGATCGACATGAGCACAGGTTTGCTTCATGTCAGAACGGTGACTGTCCCACTGCGGTGTTCACCCATGAGAGATCAGTACCATGTGTCTCGTGTGGTGGTGACTGACACAGTTGTGGTGAAGGCTCGGACTGAGATGTTGTTTAGTGGTGAGGTACGTGAGCGACGTTTGCAGGGTCAGACGTGTTTGTTGGAGCCAGAGCGTCCTGCTGAAGACAAGTTAGGCGTTTGTGTGGCTCGGTTAGCTGTTAAGGTTGATGATTATTGTGTTCCCATTCGTGTGTCTAATGTGTCAGCTGATGATGTGAAAGTGTATAAGGGGACACATATTGCCAATGTTCAGGTAGTAGGAGATGAGGCTGTGCAAGGGGTGGGTCATCCAAACCCCTCAGACCTGTCTGACTTTGACAAGGACCTGGACAGGGTGACTGAACATCTGACCACGCAGGACAGGAGTGACTTCAAACAGATCCTGACTGAGTACAAGGAGGTGTTTACAGGATTGGGTAGGACGAGCATTGCTGAGCATTGCATACCGACTGGTGACCACAGACCTATTTTTCAGAACTACAGACCTGTGCCGGGTCACATGAAGGGGAAGGTGGCTGAGCAGCTGAGTCGGTTGGTTGACAGTGGAGTTGTTCGGCCTGTACCTGAGTCGGAGTGGGCGAGTCCTCTCGTCGTCGTCTCCAAGCCGCACAGTAAGGACGTTCGTATCTGTGGTGATTACAGGCGTCTGAATCGCATCACTACTCCTTGTGTGCAAGTCATTCCACATATTGAGTCGTGTTTGCGGAAACTTTCGGGAGCTAAACTGTTCACATCGCTTGATTTGGCGCAGGCCTATCATCAGATGCCGCTTCATGTAGCTGATCGTGCTAAAACAACAGTCACAACAGAGTTCGGTTTATTTGAATATCAGTCTTGCCCTTATGGACTTCAGGGATTGCCTCACAGTTTCAATCGTGCTGTGGCACTGGCATTATCTGGTGTTAGTGTGGATGTTTATGTTCAGTATTTCGATGATATCCTCGTTTTGGCCGAGGACATGAGTGAGATGAAATCGAACCTTCGTGCTATATTCCAGTGTTTACAGGACGCTGGCTTTACTCTTTCGCTCCGGAAGATTCGTCTGTGTCAGAGGGAGGTGAAGTTCCTTGGATTTCTGGTCAGTTCTGAGGGAGTCGCGTGTGATCCCGAGAAGACGCGTCTCATCCGAGATTGGCCACAACCAACTACAGTAAAGCAGGTCAGATCATTTCTGGGGCTAGCTTCATATGTTCGAAAGTTTATTCCCAGATTTGCTGAGTTGGCTAAGCCGCTGACCAGATTGACCGAGAAGGGTGTGCCGTTTGTATGGACGTCACAGACAGCTGAAGCCTTTCAGGCTTTGAAAGCTGCTTTAGCGTCGCCACCTGTGCTGGCGCATCCGTCGTTTGAGAAGGGCGCTCCGTCGTTTATACTAGACACAGATGCCAGTGGTGTAGCGATCGGGGCTTGTCTAACGCAGAACGATCGGGTGATCGCGTATGCTAGTCGTCCGCTGACGAAGGCAGAGCGGCAGTATGCAGTCACAAAGCGTGAATTGCTAGCTGTAGTTTGGGCAGTGCAGCATTTCCACCAGTTCTTGGTGGGAGCTAGGTTCGTTTTGAGGACAGATCACGCAGCACTTCAGTGGTTGTTTAATTTCAAAAACCCAGAGGGCCAGATCGCCAGATGGCTGCTGATACTTTCAGAGCTGGATTTTGTGACGAGACATAGGAAGGGAGTTTTGCACAAAAATGGGGACGCTTTGT